TCACTGCACATTAGATTCTCATCAGCTTCAACAACCAGCCTGTTCCATCATTTCCAAGTTTGCAAATACACGCATATGAATACTGTGCACATTGTGTGTGTAAAAAAAGATTTGCAGAACCACATGCTTACACACAGAAACATACATAGATAATTTCTTTTTCATCTTCGCAATGATATTCTTCATGTAGAATAATCTCAAATTGGATCTGCACTGTGATTTTTTTTTTTTAATTATCTGTGAGGCCTGGTCTTTTTGAGCAAAATACTTTTAGAGTTATGAAGCAAAAATAATGGCCCTCATAGCTGCTGAGGTTCTATATCTCGGTGTGGTTTTAACGTTATCTCTTCCTGTAAGAACTTGATGTTTCCTGACCTTCAGCCAGAGTGTAAAGGAAGTTTGCTATTAATCTACTGTCCACATCACTGTTATTATGCACTAGTCATGGAAGATGCACCACTTTGGATAGAATGATATTTACATTGAAACTTAAGAAAAAGCCATGACAGTGTGTCACTGTTTATGTATGTAATTTATTTATTATTTAGACGCAATTTGCACATGCAAATAGCAATATACAGTAGTGTTTTTTTTGTAGGATTTTCTTTGCACTAAGTGCAAATAGTGTTACTTGGATGTCATTTATACAAATAAATAGTGGCAGATATTTATTGGGAAAAGTCTGATTCGAACTCTGTTCAGTATCGTCGAAAGATACAGTATATGCACAATTCTTACTCTCCATGCCATTCTACAAGCAGACTGGTTTCTTTTGTAATTGGGTTTGGCTCAACCAGGCAATGATGTGTGGAGTTAGTTTAAATAGCTTTTGCCAACAAGGCTATTTGCACTTAGTTTACATAGACACTTCATATTAATTAATGTTAATTCATTAATTAGTGGTGCTTCTTAACGTAAACATCTATATTCGTTTTGGCTATACTTAGGGTAACTGTTAGGGTAACAGTGGGGAAGGTTAGGGCCTGATCAGAACAATCAGCGACCACCCAGTCACAGGCCAATCACAATGCACTGGATAGCTGGCCAATCACAGCACACCTCGCTTTTCAGAACGATGAGCTTTCTAAAAATCGACACGTTTCAGAAAGGCGGGGCATAGAGGAGAAACAATAATGTAAAGTATGTGGAAAATAATGTGTTTTTTGAACCTTAAACCGCATAAACACATTTCATTACACCAAATACACAAAATAATGTTCTTTTTAGCAACATCATATGACGCCTTTAACATTAATAGTGACAGACAGCAGCAGGTAAATAAGGCTGCTGTCCCTTTAAGACCAACTGCACGGATCCAATATACTGAAACACATCTGGTTTTCACCCAACTGTTTTACATTAATTTAACATATAACCGACTGTGCTTACTTGAATGCTCAACACGACAGGCATTATGACATAACTGTTTGCGTATTTGACCATTCAAGCACACTGTTTTCGTGATCACATGCTGTCGAGAGAGGGGCTTTCAGTGCGTGCACTTCGACTGTGTGTCAGTCAGCGCAAGCACCACATTGAGTTCTTTTTCACTGCTTATTGCACTTAATAACTCTACCAAGTGCGTACCATTCTTTATTTTCTCATTCATGCATGTTTCCTTATCACTCAAAAGGTGTATAACGTTTAAGCAGTGTGTTACGCATATATATTTGCATAACGTGGAATACACGATATAGCAAAATCTCTAACGATAGACACTTTATTTCACAGTAACGATATATACCATCATACCACCCAGCCCCACTATGTGGTTATCAAAGTGTTGATTTAGCATGTTGCTATACAGCTGCTACGGTGTTTTGTGTTATGCTTTCTGGCTCAATCAAAAAATTATGGCCTTGATTTAGAAAGATGATATCTAGAACCAAATCATGGATCAGAAGAACATATAACAAGAAGAACATTTTAATTTCTAAAGAACTATAACCATTCATAAACTTGTATGAACTCATACACATAAAAATTATTTTTAATAATCGGTTAAAATGGGACATTCATGTTAAATATCTATTCTGAACGTATTTTGCGTACTTAAAAAATGATTTGCCTACATTATCTATTAATGACTAAATCCCTTTGTATTTAAAGGCCAATTCATACTGCACCGACAGACGCAGACCAACACTGACAGCTGATAGAGTACAGGTTGTCACTTCTCAGACATTCCAAGACCGACAAACGCTGATTCAACATGTTCAGTTGGCAAAAACAAGTGCAGACCAATGCCAACAGACAGGGGTAACACACTGATCAGACAAAACCCGACAAAACTGTCTATTGCCGTTTGTTGGCATCTGTCAGTGCGGTGTAAATTAGCCTTAAGATGTCTCTAGCCTATTCTTCATTTGATTTATTGCTCTGTTTTTTTTTGTTTATGTAAAAGAGCACTTGAATCACTGCTTCTCTTTAACATGGCAACAAAACATGAGTGTAAAAAATGCTATTTAAAATCAATACCTTCACAAAACCTATGCTTATCAGAAAGACCTTCACCTAATGTTTTTTTTTTTGTGTTTTTTTTTGTGTAGATGGTAGGAGAGATATATACAATTTCTCCCTTAAATACTTATAATCTAAGTCTTCAACCCTGCTACTGGGGACCCACTTCCTACAGAGTTCATCTCCAACCCTAATCAAACACACCTGAACCAACTAATCAAGGTCTTCAGGATAACTTGGAAAGTCACAGGCCAGGTGTGCTGATACAGGTTGGAAAGAAACTTTGCAGAACAGTGGTTCCCCAGGAGCAGGGTTGAAGACCTATGACTTAGATTATAAAGTCATGTAGCTTATTTGTCTCACATTATTTTTAATTTTTTTCACTTTAACATTAGTTTGCATTATCATTAACAGCTCTTTAGTCTTCCATTAAGTAAAATGTGCTTACTGCAATCAAAGTGTGAGTTGTCTGGATGTTTGCAGGTTTATGTCTGTCTCCCTAATGTGACATAGGTGTGGTCAGAGCTGCTGGACGGTGTTGACTAGCAGCACTCATCAGCTATCAGACACCTCACCTGTAGCTTGTCCTTGCATATTTATATCCTGTGTTTGCGTTGGGTGTTTGCCATATCGTCTTGTCCAGTGGAGTTCATGTTTGTTACATGTTCCTTGTTATTTCCAATAGTTACCCATGTATGGTTCCATGACGATTAATCACCTTTACCTGTCCCATGTTAGCCCCTTGTTATCTTGTGTATTTAAACCCCAGTGTTTTCCCATGTTCTTTGTCAGGCCTTGTCTATTGTTGGATGTATTGTTGGTGTATTGTCGATGTATTGTTGGGGATTGTGTGCGTCAAGCTCTGGTGGCCGTGGAACTTGGCCCACCACGGGTCTCAATGCTTCCAAGTCTGGTAGTCTCAAATCCAGTGCTCTCAGCGCATCCAAGTCTTGTGGTCCTGAGTCCAGTGGTCTCAGCACATCAAAGTCTGGTGTTCTCTGCTCTTCCTCGCCTGGGGGTCTCAAGTAGGGCTGTCACGATTATGAAATTTGGCTGACGATTAAGTGTCTAAAAATAGTCACGGTTATTGAGATTAATTGTCTGTTTCAGGGCTTTGGTGTTTATGATGATTAAGCCGATTATCACGATTAATTGTCTGTTTTTTATGGCTTTCATTATATAACTGCTTAATTTAAGGGTTCAGTAATTATGATGTTATCTTTTAATCTTTTTTGAGTTATTATTTTGCAGTGTAAGATTACGTAGGGTATTCCAAATTCTAAGAATCGGCCAATACCAATCCAACACCAGCGCTGTTTTTTTTTTCTACACCACTACAGAATATCAATACTGTGTTTGCAGAACTAATGGTCACTCTTTTTTAAACCCTTTGTTAAACACAATCCACTAAATACTCACTTCCTCATTACAGAGAAAAACTACATTTGAATAAAAATATATAAGCTATGAAATTAAACTAGCTGACTGTATAATTTAGCAGCAAAAACTATCTTGACAAAAATCTTTGGTGCACATTATACAATTTAAACGTTTATACTGTTAACTATTTGTATTCTTACAAAATACATACATGAAAATAAGATCGAAATCATGAGAAAAATAAAAGCTTCTAAAAATCTTTCTGTGTGCAAAACGGAAGCAGAGCGGCACAAAGCTCTTATGCATATCCAGGGTGCAGAATGGTGCACTTGAAGCAACATGGAGTCGCAGTACTTATGCACATCTAGGGTGCAGAATGATGTGCTGGATGCAACATAAGTCACAGCGCGCTGCACTCCACACGGTACAAACAAAGAGAAGAGAAATGAGAGAGCAATGAACTCCAGCAAGATGTCATTTTATGCGAATCCCCAGACCTTTATCTACACATCATCAAATACACCAAGTATTATAATGGGAATATATCATCTTAGGAGAGAGTTTTACCGTGCTGACTGTCATAACTGAATGTGACGTGCTGTTTGAATGCTGAGCAGAGAATAACTGACAGCTGCAGCAGAAGGAAGATTTAGAATAAATTTAATGATGTAAATATAATTCTGCCCCTCACATTAAGATATGGAATGGCTTCAGATGATATAGGCTATACAGTGCATGAAAACCAAACTGGTGCTCTTCTGTTTCTTTTGGTGTATGACTCCCCCTTGTGCCGTATAAAAAGCACAATAATCGTGGTTGTCTGAAACAACCACGGTTAGATCAAATAATTGCGATTAGACAGTTATTTAATTATCGCGACAGGCCTAGTCTCAAGCCAGTAGTCTAAGGTCGCTTACTTTGATGCTACCACCATCTTGTGTGTTTGGGCTGCACACACTTCTTCGGCTCCTCCCGAATCCCCAGCTTCTCCTGAGGCGGCAGCACTTGCTCTTGAATTCTCTTTCTGCTTTGACACGATCACAGAACCTGTCCCTGAACTCTTTGTCTGTTCTGCTCTTTTTTTTCCTTCTTTGAACTCTCTGAGCTCTCTGTCACAGCCATTGAGGCCGCCAATAATCTCTCTGTGTTCTATGTTTCAGTTCTGCCCTGGTGGTCTCCAGCTTCACCGGCTCCACCATGTTTTCCTGCTCCTCCGGCTCCACTGTGTTCTCCAGCACCGCCACCCTTTCCAGTAGTTCTTGGACAGTTTATAAAAGTACAATTTGAAGGCACAAGATCAGAGAAAGGACTCAAATCACCCGCAGTCAACCAGGTCTCAGTCACAAATAAAAAAATCCAAATCATTTGAAGTGAGAAAATCAAGCAAAATAAATGTCTTGTTCACCAGAGATCGAGCGTTTACCAGGGCCATCTTGTCCCGTGTTGACTCACCAACCGGCTGTATCGCACGACTCAATGGACGAAGATTTCCATGATTGACTCCTCCTCGTCGTGAACGAAAAGACAACCGGTACTGACAAGAGCCATGTGAAACATTCGGGATTTCTTGCTGAACACACTGATGAATTAAACCCCAGGGATCGCGGCGAAATAGTACGGCCACTGTCCAACCCAAAACTAGAGTAATCCAGGCAAGGATAGTGCGCCAGTAAACTTGCTAAACATAGCTTTAGCTTGAATGCAATTCCTCCCCGCTTTCCTCTCTGTCGGCGGCATTTCCTCCCAGGGAAATCCCATAGCGACCGGCACAAGCAGGCAGGAATAGACGTTATAAAAGGTGGAGGTGGACAATTAAAATTAGATCCCCTCAAAGCAGTGCTTGATAAAACTTCAACTGAGCTCCTTATATTAAGGAGCATTTGACGGTCGTACACTAACAGTGCACGTACAGTATGAGTCAGAAAGGAGCTTAAACATAGGACAAACAAAACAGATAGCAGACAGCCAGCCATGAACAATGGCGCCATCTTGTCCCTTGAACATCTATTATTATTGTTTGGACCAACCACAAGAACCTTGAGTACATCTGTTTCGCCAAACATCTCAATTCTAGGTAGGCCCAGTGGGTTCATTTTTCCCCCCGGCCAGTCTCATATCATCCTGTACACCATTGTCCCTGCAGGGATGGTGGTGGCTGTGGTGTCTTGGGCGACTGATATATATTGCTCTCTTTTTGATGAGTTCCTTCAAAGCTGGGTCACTCAAACTGGGTGCACCAAGGGGCACACTTAAGACGGGGTGTCGTCTTGTCCGATCATCTTGTCCAGTGAAATGTTTCCAGTGTTCACTATAGTTCTTGTCTGGTAATTTCTTTTGTTCATGTCTTTGCTCTAGTTTCCTTTTGATGTTCTGGCAATTTGGACTATTGCCTCATGGCCTGTCTTCTGTCAGTTCTTCTGTCTGTCAGTTTGCACTACTGTTTACATCTGCCTCCTCTGCTTAACTGACTCCACCCAACAGGAACTCAGCCATGTAAGATGGAATGTACGATTTAAAAATTTTCCCACACTGTTGTGAGGGGCATACCATGGCTAAAAGCTCATGAAAGTTAACATAGAAATTTGTCTTATGACATCTTTTGATTTGATACTGCAATTCCAGAGGGACCTGCCTCATTGGCTTCACAGCGCCCCCAGTAAGAAAATACATATTTTGGCCCTTTGGAATACATAAACTCATAAAATGTTGTTAATATTTACAGGTTTGTGTGGAAATATTGTCCTTAACATGTTCCACATGAACCGCATGTTTCCCATTGGCTTTTATTAGCTCTGCCCAACAGGAAGTTGGCCTTTTTGGAATGTTTAAAAATGACATGCTATGGATTTTGAAACACTTCTCCTAGGGGATTTATGTGACTGGCACCAAACCTAGATACAATCATGCCAAGACACTGAAGATGCTAAATTATGAAAGAGTTTTTAATATCTTAAACAGTGTTGCCATGACGATTAAGAAACATTAAAAAAGAAGAAACAGGAAAGTGTCCTATATCTTCTGCATGCATCATGTGATTTAATTCAAATAGGACATATATGTTTGGCTTTGTGGGCTTATCACATTGATGTGAATATTGTTGGTCATGTTTGTATTGCCACCACCTGGCAGAAGGTATTAAGACATTTGAGCAAACTTTTAAATATCCCTTTTTTCAACTTACTCTAAATTACTTCAGATGTTTTTATAATAATGACAATAAACTACAGATTTTTAATGTCTTAAATACTGTTGCCATGACATTTTCAGCTACGGTCACCAACTTATGCACATATATAGATCTCATCAAAGCATTCAAACAAACACTGCACATCCCGATGTTTGGTGCAGGCAGTGCAGTGAGTTATAAAATGAATTCATTTAAATTACTTCATACATATAGCACTGGAAAAAAATTAAGAGACCACTGCAAAATTATCAGTTTCTCTGGTTTTAATATTAATAGGTATGTGTTTGAGTAAAATGAACATCTTTGTTTTATTCTGTAAACTACTGACAACATTTCTCCCAAATTCCAAATAATCATATTGTTATTTAGAGCATTTATTTGCAGGAAATGACAACTGGTTTAAAATGGCAAAAAACATGCAGTGTTTTCAGACCTCAAATAATGCAAAGAAAGCAAGTTCATATTAATTTTTAAACAACACAATAATAACGTTTTAACTTAGGAAGAGTTCAGAAATCAATATTTGGTAGAATAACACTGATTTTCAATCACAGCTTTCATGTGTCTTGGCATGTTCTCCATTAGTTTTTCAAATAGCTGTTGGGTGACTTTATGCCACTCCTAGCGCAAAAATTCAAGCAGCTCTGCTTTTTTTGATGTCTTCCTCTTGATCACATTCCAGAGGTTTTCAATGCGGTTCAGGTCTGGAGATTGGGCTGGCCATGACAGGATCTTGATCTGGTGGTCCTCCATCCACACCTTGATGGAGCACCCCCAGGTCATCACCGATCCTCCACCAAATTTCACAGAGGGTACGAGACACTGTGGTTTGTAGGCCTCTCCAGAGATTGGACTGATCAGAGAAGGTCCAATCTATATGGTCTTTTGTAAACCTCAGCCTGGCTATTCTTTGCTTCTCATTGATGAAGGCCTTTTTTCTAGCTTTGCGCAACTTCAGCCCTTTATTTTTGATACCTCCTATATTTACCCACTTCAATGCATATTGCCCACCGTTCACTGTTTTCCTAAGGCTGCTGGGTGGTGCAAGGGCCCTTTCATCACTGCTTGCAGCTTTTCTTTTTTTTTTTTGTACTTTATTGTCTATCATTAAACATTAGTTTATCATGCCTGCTCCTGGGTCATCCTGTTTTACTGTGACACAATGACAACAAAGAATACCCGGGAATATCTGTAGTAGCATATAATGCATATATACGTATTTATATATTGTTATGCATATATATATTTATATATATATATATATATAAGCATGCCACAAATGCTATTGCTGGACTTTACATGGTTTTTAACACATAACATTCCTTTAACTTTATGAAAACATTAAAGGGTTAGTTCACCCCCCTCCCTCCCCCAAAAACGTAATAATTTACAAACCTGTATGACTGACTTTACGTGGAACACAAAATAAGATATTTGTGGCGTCCTAACCTAAAGATCTAAGTGACCCTTTGCTTTGATAGAAAAGTTAAATTGAGCTACGAGCAAAATCCTGCACTTTCAAGCAGTCTTTTCAGCCCATCATGTCTTCAAATGATCCGTGATATCTGCAGCTTTATGCCGGCTGTGTACCCTGCCGTCTTATCTCCATATAGGGTCGCGGTCAATAAGCAATTAGCATTTTATGACAAACTGCTCACCAACATCAGGGGAGGTTGGCAGCTTGCCATTGCAGATTAATTTTATAGAGTGGATTCAAGTCATGTCTGGGAGACAGAAGTCAATGTTTATTACCATGGAAATTACATGCCCTCTAAATGTCCATAAAAATAATTTAACATGAGATAGGCAATTAGTCTAATGTTTACTCACTAACAAAAGAGGCTAAAGAATGATTGCTAAAAGCACAAGAGCATGTGTTTTACCATAACTATGTTCAGGCATTTCCACTTCCTGTGTGGTTTACAATGGCTAGTGCTTTGGACTAGTGCTGTCAGTTTAACAGAATTTATTTAATACACGAGTTTCACAATTTGAGTTGAATTACTGAAATAAATGACCTTTTCCACGACATTCTAATTTATTGAGATGCACCTGTATATATAAATAATTTACTTTCAGAACAATTTATGTTTACAGTACTACCTTCATGTTTTGTTACCATACAGTCATTGCAGCCCTAGCTGCTACCACAAAACCACACTCTTTGAGAGCGGACATCACAGAATAAGTAAGGAATTAAAAAATGTTGTTATTATTATTATTATAAAAAAAAATTAAGATCACAAGCTGAATGCAAAAGCACATCCTATTTGAAAAGCCTCTAGGCCTACCTTGACAACCAAAGACTGATTGACAGCTTGGTTGCAGTATAGATAACTGTGGAGTTGTGGTCCAGTGGTGTTAGTTGAAATGAACTGTTGTAAACACATTTTGTATATTCAATTATTTTGTCTACCACAATAATGTTGTCTTTGAATTATCTTCATTTTCAGGCATTTCTCTGTAAATATTACAATTAATTTGATCAGTTAATCGGCATATCATGTCATTAACTAGATACAATTAGATTTTAATCACTTGACAGAACGTCTTGGTTACATACGTAACCCTCGTTCCCTGATGGAGGGAACGGAGAGGTTATGTCGTGACGACATTAGGGGTCTAACTTGGGAGCCCAATCATCTCTGAGTTTAAGAGAAAACGGCAATAAAAACTGGCTAGTGGATTTTGCATGCTGAGCCACTCCCCGTGCACACGGGTATATAAGGCAACAGCGCGCATCCACTCATTAGGTTTTACGCTGAGGAGCCGAGAATGTGTCCTGGCATCAGCGAATGGTTGAAGGTTGTGGCATGGGGACATAACGTCTTCATTCATTCCATCAGGGAACGAGGGTTACGTACGTAACAGAGACATTCCCTATCTGTCGGTCACTACGAGTTATGTCGTAACGACATTAGGGGTCTATGGAAAATGCCACAACCTGAACACCGCTACGCTAAGGTCGTAACCTTCCCAAAGCCCCAGTGCAAATTCACTGACCTTGGTACTGAAGGGACCAACGATGAGTACATCGCAGCTGGAGGCCACGCTGCTGTTCTGTCCACAAAAAAGTTTTTGGAGGGGCTTTCAACCTTCAGTGAAAGATTGCTTCAAATCTTCCCTATTTGTTAAGGTATCAATAAGCAGTTGCCTTAAGGAAAAGGTCACTACGGAGACCACATCCTACCCGTAGGGAGGTGACATGTGGACATACTGAGGCAGATCCTACCTTAGAGTATGGATGGAACAACTGCCAGAAGAGACTGACAGAGCGGGTCTGTCAAGGGAAGACACGGGCTTACTGAGAGGGAAACCTATCGTGGAAGAATACACATATGGGATTACCATCAAGCCATATGGACACCTAGCCCAGTACAGGGGCTGACCGGGACTCCGGGCATGCTAACACCAGTACTGGGCCTGGCGTCAGACTGCTCCGCCAAGTCTGACTGCGGGGGGTGCTGGAGGATGCTCGACCAGGGTTCGCCAACCGGGGAACTCCACTGTGGGATTACCATCAAGCCATATGGACACCTAGCCCAGTACAGGGGCTGACCGGGACTCCGGGCATGCTAACACCAGTATTGGGCCTGGCGTCAGTCTGCTCCGCCAAGTCTGACTGCGGGGGGTGCTGGAGGATGCTCGACCAGGGTTCGCCAACCGGGGAACTCCACTGAGAGAAGAAAGGTGCTCGCATCCCCGTGTGAGGGGGAATGGCGCAGCAAGCGAGACACCGAGCCAGTTCTTCCCACCAGTTACCTGTTACCCAACACACGGGAAGAAACCGGCTCTACACAAAGTTTGTAAAACCTTGCGAAGGTGTTGGGTGTCGGCCAGCCCACAGCTTGACAGATGTCTGCCAGAGAGGCGCCGTGCGCCAGCACCCAGGAGGAGGTAACACTCCGAGTGGAGTGGGCTCTCACCCCCAGGGGGCACGGCTCGCCTTGGGA